TAATAGGGAATAGTTTAAGTTTTCTGGATCTGGAGGTTTCTTGATTGAAAAGGTACGTATTTGGTTCACTTTGGCGAGCGGCGCAGCAAGTCTAGAAAAGAGGGGCAATAGATACGCCAGAGTTTTACCGGTTCCAGTAGGTGATATGGCCGCCAAATCTCGACTCTAGTGAGGCAAAGATGAGTGTAATGACGATGGAGATGAAGGGCCATACCTCTGCGAGGATAGACACACCAGTGCGTTGAATGGCAGTGGGTTCTTTGTACCCCAGTGACCGTATATTTTGCATTAGGTAGACTGGTAGAGAGAATCGCTCTTCCATCTCATCGAAAGAGTCCGCAGCTGCAGGCACTCGCTGGCCTTTGGTCGTAACCCGGTGCCTCAGCGGGTGAGACTCTGTATTGGAGTCTACATCCATTTCGTCGTCCTCACTTTCTTCTCTTTTACGTTTTCTACTTTGTTGTTCGTTGCCTTCATCTTCCCTTTGCTTCAGTCCAGTAGCTTGTGAAGAGTGACCTCCTGAATGTGACCTTTTTGCATATTTAAAGAAGTCCAATGAAGGAGGCAATTCGGACCCCGTTGGGAGTTTGGTCTCAGTCTTGTCTTTGCTGGCCTGCTCCAAGCATGAGGCAAATTTCGACAAATGAAGGCAAAAACTGTGGCGGGTGCACTTACACTAAAAAGCTTAACATCCGCCTTGAACCGATTCTTATTGAAGCTCCCACCTCGGGATAATAATTGAAACGCTTCCATTGTTTTATTTGCAAAGGCTATGTTTGAGAGGCCGAGTGTGGACGAAACGCGGAAACAACGATCTTGGTGGAGAGGGAGTCAAGTGGCGTCGATTTTGTGGAAAGTCAACACCAACCACACCCACCTCCATCGATCTAACAAACCCCGTCCTCTGCACATTGCGGTATAGGCACGACTCTCACCATGCCGAAACGTGAGCCAACTCCTCCTCCAGGAGACGACGAACCTAAGTAGGTTCTTTCCGTCTGTTTACCCCTTTGAGCGTGTTAGTCTAACGACGGAACTTGCCATGTCAAGCTACTTTACCATCGTTACTCCATATCCTCTCAATGCGGATATGGAGGTTCCTGGAGATGTTCTCCGTTTAGCACAGTGGTTGGCAGAGGTCACGGGTGACCCAAACGTACTTTGGGCCCTTTTTCATAAACCTTCTGTATGTTCCCTCATTCTTCGTGAAGGAAAAATGTGACTTTCGATCATCGTAATAACTGCTATCTAGTCCCCTCGGATTGTCATCATTGAAGTGGACAGGTCCTTTAAGGACGTTAGGCGTCTTCTTGGACAGCATTTCTGGGCTGGAGAAAAAGGATTCCTCATCAATCCACCTCCGGACATTGCTTCATTCAATTACTCGGCGATCTTCTATTGTCACTATACAACTGGTAGAATGGTCCAGAAGCATGGTTAGTGTGTACCTTGATTTTCCACTCAGGGTGTTTATATCCCCAATCCAGGATGGAAGAGAATAGATTTTATGAATAAAATGTTCGGAGAGGCTAAGAATCGCGCGAAGTATGTATGGAACAAAGTTTTGTGGCTCGATATTGACCATATATGACAAAGGATTTTCAAACGTCCGTACCCGACTAGTCAACACATCAACGTCCCATCCTTTGAGCCGACAGCTATCGATCTTTGTCGCAACCTACCCACTGCCCTTTTCCAAGGAGACGCTCCCAAACCTGGAGCTAAGGCCCCTCCGCCTGGTAATGCTGAACTATGCTATGTACCCGCTACTTTTTAATTGACCTCGGCACTAGGGTCGTCTGCATGGGCCACTAACAGAGAGCTTCGGGCTGCGAACAAACGTAGCAAGAAGGAAGAACCATCTACTGGAGAAATGCCTACTGAAGAAACGTCTACTGAAGAAATGCCTATTGAAGAAACGTCTACCGAAGAAACACCTACTGAAGAAATGGCTACTGAAGAAACACCTACCGTAAATGCGACTTCAGACGCTACCAATTCAGAGCCAGCCAACCTCTGGAGTTTGTGCCTTTTCTTACTCCACTGGCATTGATTGACACTTCCTAGATCACGTTAAATTGGCCAGTGATTTAGCTCAGTCGTCCGTATATGGAGGGAATGAGGAGGTAAGAGAACTGTTTTCACTGAGACGACCTAGTTGATGCTGTTTAGGATGTCTGGTAGGTGGCCATGTCCGTCGTCGGTAAACGTATCTCTAAGCTACTTTAAAGCCCTTTCCATGGTCTCAAGTGCAAGAAAATGTGTGACTGGCGAGTGAAAAACCAGAAGGCTAAAGGCCCAAAGGTTGGGGGACCTTCCAATACTAAGAACTATCAGAAATGTAAGACCAAGTGCTTCACAGGTTTTCAAGTAGCTTACATTACTAGCAAACCGTGGGTACAATAAAAATGCACCTTCCATCAACACCAAAGCGGCGAACGGAGCACGTCCCTCCAACAATGGTAATGCGCAATCACCTATTACCCCAACTTCTCCTCCTCCTAAAAGAGCAGGCCCAAGCGCGTCTAACGTGAAGCCATCGGTCCGCGCACCCCCGCCTCCAATGTTCCTTTCTCCCGTCAGCCCGACAGCTCCAAAGAGCGAGACCAACGACCCTTCGGTACCCGCGCCATCTAAAATTGAGCAAGTGGCTATTAACTCTAACAGCGGCCCTGTGCGCGGCGTCCCGGCATGGTCATCCCGTGGTCGCGGCCGGGGACGTGGTGCCTAAAGATCCAATCCCGTAATCAACCTTTTTCATTTTCTTGGGTCCTTTCAAGAGTCGATCCCTGATTATAACGATGACGGTGGCCTTCTGTAGCTTTTGAATTTTGTTGTATCATACTTCGTAGTCACCACTCTAGTATTGCGAAACAATCGCATTATGATGCCTTAAAGCCAATCCTCGTTAAGATTAATTCTATAAATGTAATGTTCTGTGCTAAAATATATCATCCTTGGCGACCCTCGATGCCGACCACGGCCCTTGGAGTCGAGCAATGCTTCGGTTTCGACCGCATCATCAACTCAAGCCATTGTCTGGTACATCATGTCCCAAAGTGAACCAAATACGTACCTTTTCAATCAAGAAACCTCCAGATCCAGAAAACTTAAACTATTCCCTATTAAACAAGATCTATCAAGGCATCTATGTCCGTCATCCGGTTAGATACGAACCTATTAACACTCGCCCAGAATACAAAGAATACTCTGCTGAAAGGGAAGCCAGCAGTTTCAAGTTGAAAGCCTTCACAACAGCACTTGATTCTTTGAGAGACCTACCCTTTAAGGTGCGACG